CAGCATAAGATTACATAAAAAACTTATATGTAACTCAATGGAAAAATATTCAATAATTTACAATTGGGAAGACAATATGCATTTGCTTAAACGATTTTTAAATTAGTTGTTAATAAATAAAATACTACAAAAAGACAGAAGGCAAAAAAATTAAAGGCATTTAACAAAATAAGGCATGAGAAGAAACTTAAATCACATTTTGCTGTGAAAAAAAAATCATTAGTTATCAATGTATTGCTTGAGCACACAATTTTTATAAATTTTTATTAATTTTTTTTTTTAATAATAGATTAAGAAATTGCATACTCATTTGTGACAAACTACTCATAAGAAGGATTTCAAATATACATACATACATATCTGTATAAACAATATATATAAAATTTATAATTTAAAAATAAAGTATCAATTTCAATTTAAATTTAATATAAAGTAAAAGTCATTCTACTGACACTTGGCTTCATGCTCATCACTTTGCTGCAACCATATCAGCTTATACACAGCTGCGTACGTTTTCTGCGCATCAATCATTCATTAACTTAATTTTTTAACGTATGTATGTATGTATTTGTATTTGTTGTTGGCGTGTTGTTAACGTAAGTAAAAGATAAGTGTATGTATTTTACATATTATGTATTATTAGAAATTTCTTTATATCACTTAAGCGAAAAAACTACACGAAAGTATTTGCTTTTAAAACTATTTAAATTTAGTTCATTTTGTTTTCTGTGTATTTCTTTATAATAGTAAGCTTTTAGTAGAAGAAACCAAAAGGCATTTATGATTGCATGCATATCTGTAGGTGTGTATTTAAATGTGTATTTATTTGCTATTTTAAAGGAGTAATTATCTTAAGGAATAATCGAAATAGATTTGGAAATTTTAGGTATGAAACTTCATAGTTCTGTGTGTAGATGTCATAGGAAGATTTTGTGTAAGAACTGTATTGCTGATAATTTTGGGATTTGGTTTTTTTTTCGAGCTGTGGTGCTGAGTTGAGTAGGTGTTTTTTAGTTAGACCTAAATAGGAAGAAGTAGGAGCCCAAGAATTCATTGGTGAGCTCATTAAGAACATGTATAGGACTGAAAAAATATATGTACAGCAACAGAGCAGCCTGCTCTTTTGGGCCATAAATAACCTATGTACGCGTTCTTACGATAAAGTTTACTTCGAAAGAGACGTTTCAAAGCACTTGTAAAAGTGAATAAGAGCACAGAAGTAGAATTTGATTACGCACATTTGCCATAATGTGCAGTTATAGACTGTTCAAAAAGTTTCACTCAAAAGATCCGTGAAGAAACCCTACAAGACAGCTGAGTATCATATGAGTACTCATATTATCATTATCCCTAATCACAAAAGTGCTTATCAAAGTCCTCATTTTCGTTCAGGCCATGGGAAAAATTTGAGTACTTTCCCCTCAATGTTGTCATCAGAAAGTCCTCAGTACTAATAGTCAAACTACTCATTTATGCCGTACTACAAAAACAAAAGTGTAAATGTGTGAGAATTTTTGCCTAAAGTGCTCAGCAATGTCTTGTAGGGAACGCTAGCAAGAGCTTTCACGAAAATTTACGATTTCAAACATATTAAGTAAATTTTTTACAAACTTCAATTTGACGGGAAATGTGTATGTAAGTATGCACTTAAAGTTTATAAGTAAGTTTATATTTACAGCTTCACAAAAACTACTAAGTCAATTGAAAGCTTCCGCGGAGCTTTCACCAAAGTCGCAAGCATAATAATACCAATTCTTGTATTAACTTATTGAGCGATTGCTGGATTAAAAACTTTGTGAAAGCTCATGTCTGCCGCCTGAAATGTAAGCCTTCCAAACAACAGTGTACCGGAAATGAGGAAGTAGAAATAAACGAGGTGCAATAAAAAGGAGTGCATAGCCATACATATACATACGTGTGTATATTTATTTACATTCCTACAAATGCATAGATAAGCTTTATAAGGGTATATGTCACGACAAGAAGGGAAGCTGCATAAACGCTCACTCTATTCATCGCATGCATAGAATTTTGTTTAGAATTTTTAAAGTTGAGAAATCGCATTGACGAGAATAGACTAAATGCTCTCTTACTGACTCACAATGGTTTTTATGCGCGCATAAGATCTCCTTTTGATCGTTTCCGCAATGAAATACGAGAGATACATTCTGGCATTAAATCCCCAGTAGAAAGTTTCAGGAGTTAAAAGCCCTTTTGAAAGTACCCCCTGAACACTATATTCCCTTCTCTTTTCTTTTTTGTATAGAGTGCCAAAAATTGAAGGGTTCCTGCTTTTACTACCCATAAAAGTCCATGTAGAAGGGCTTTTAAGAGACGTACTTCCGGGAAGTATTTTGGAGGAGCTCTCTTAAAGATGCTTCTTTAATTCAGAAAAATCATACATCTTTAATGTATTTGTTCAGGGTTTATATCAAATATGTTTTATTGCAACTTAAAATGTATATTGAAATCAACTTGCAATGCTAAACCTATACATTCGCGTAAATTGTAAATAGGAAAGGCCATTCTAGAAGGCATGCAGGGAAGTACTATTTCAGCCCTTTTGGGTAAGCCATTTAGAATGGGCCTGCATGAATTACCTACTGGGGCCTATGTTCTAGACTTCCTGTAGTTATGAAACGAGCACTGATCTCAAATTTTGAGTGTTACCTTCAGCTACTCTTCATATATCTATCAACTGTACTTTTTCCAATAAAATCTAAAGCAGTCAAATCCAATCGCAACCCGAAAGTAGTGCGCCTTTTCAGCTTTCTATACACTTTAAACCGACGCATAACACGCAAATGTTCCATAGTTCGATCCTAAGTATGGAGCTTAGTTGTAGTTGAGGTTAATGAAATTAAAGTGATTTACATAATTTACAATGGCAATTACTTCAAAGTAGAGATAGTTAGTAAATCGCGGGTGCAGCTAACCTCATAAAACGATAGGTTTTTTTTGGGTGAAAATACGAATAAATATGTTCAAGGTATTTCGAGTTCAGTCCAATATCAAACGCTCTGCACTCTAAAAAGCCACCGCGTTTCTTGTACCCAGCACCACTGTTTAACTATTGATTTGACTATTGCCATTTCGTTTATTCCCTTTTTTGACTCTATTTCTATAAACTATTTCAATTTGTCTATTATTTGATTATGTCAATTCTGTAGTATGGATGTTAATGGTTTATTTTTAGTGTATGTATTTACTTGACCTTTTTCCATTTCTTCACGGTTTGCAAAGTTTAGAGTCCTTTTCGAAAAGACTGTGTGTTACATGCTGTAAATTACATGCCATCATATGGTTGTTCTTGTTGCAGCAGTTTATTAAAACGGTTTAACTACTACATATGCATACATATATTTATGTAGGCATGTACGTTTTGCATAAAAACTAACGCATAAATTTAGTTGAGTGTGGTAATAGTGTTTTTGAGTGAGTATACATATGTACATGTATGTATGTGCACATGTAAGCATGTTTGGGTGAACGTGTTTGAAAATTAAGATATAACATGCATGTACTTAGTAATGATAGATAATTATAATAAAACTAATAGCTACATTTCAATTGTTTTGCTTCTGCAACACACTCCTTTTAGCATTAAACTTAGTTTTCGCTTACAAAATTAAAAGTGTAAGAAATTATATATTTTTTTTTTAAATAATATGTACGAGTAAATAGTCACGTATGTATGTTTAAGCAGGCCTATATAAGAGAAATATTTACTTAACTTTTTATTTTAAACAAATTTTTTGCAAGCATATGTATGTATTTGCCGCAATTATTATTCACATTTCTTGCTGTTTCAAACAAATAAAAAATAATTTTAAATTAAAAAAAGGATGACGAAAACAAGTAGTTAGTCCAACACGTCTGTCTGTCACTGTAGAATTGTTCGTTCACACAGTATGCGCGTACGTATGTAGTATTATAAAATCGTAGTATAAGTATAAAAAGTTATGTGGTAGGGGTAGTAGTCACGCCTAATACACACAAGAATTGAGCGCCTTTTTTCGGGTACATTTTTTTGCGATTAATTTTTAATAAATTTTGAAACAAAACTTTTCTGTGACTTTCGTACGTTCTTAATTTTTTTTAATTTAAGTCAATTTTCCAAACATTAAAGTAATATTTATGCTTTCACATTTGAAATCATTGAAAGTAAATTATAAGCATTTAATTGTAGTAAAGGTAAAAAGTGGAGTAGGCGCGCAACTTTTGCAAATTTATTAAAATCATAATTAACCAACATACATATGTATTTAGTTATGTAAGCGTATGTATGTGTGTACAATATACGCGCGTACTCCATTGCATTAACGCAAATTGAGTGAGTGACTGTATAGGTGCTTATTTTTTATGTTTCTTTGATGCTGAATTGTTTACTATCAGGTAGTTGTACCGTTATTGTTAAGTTAAGCTTGTTTATAAAATTTCTCGTTTTTATATGCTCATTGCATGATTTTTTCAAAGTTTTTTTTTTGCAATTTTTTGTGGGCTTCTCAATTACTATATATGCATGTACGAGTACTCAGACCCTTCGTATAATTAGGCTGCTGCTTGATGACATCATAGAGATCCGAATATTGAGTGTATATGGGGATGTATAGGAATAGCGTGTGACAGAGTGTGTGGTGGCGGTGGTGGTGGTGGTTGTACTCCGCCCAACGCGCCACCTCCACCTCCTCCGCCTCCGCCACCACCGCCACCACTATGCGCTGGCGGCAGATGTGTTGGCGGTCCACAGAGGCTAGAGCCTCCACCCACATGTGAGGCCTGATGCGCTTGCACTGGATGATGCGCGACGGCTGCGGCAGCTGCTGCCGCTGCAGCGGCAGCGGCACTCGGCAGTGGCGCTACAGGTGGCAATGTTATCGAGAGTGTCACAGTTTGTGGCGGTGAAAGGCCGTGTTGGGCATGCTGTTGTTGTTGTTGTTGCTGCTGCTGTTGTTGGTGCTGCTGATGTTGTTGCTGCTGTTGGTGTTGTTGTTGCTGTTGCGCCGCAGCGGTATTGTTTGTTGCACTTGCCGAAGCTGGCACCACTACTCCACCACCTCCTGCGCCGCCGCCGACGCCACCACTACCCTGCTGCGCTGCTAAATTATTAGCTGCCGCTGCTGCCGCCACTGCTGCCGCTGCGGCTGCGGCTGCTGTCGTGGTGGTGGGATGTCACTGGGCCACCACCGATGTGGGCGCGTTTTGTTGCACTACTACACCAGGCGCCACCGAATTCGGCACCGTCACATTTACTGGCGGCTGTGAGGACGATCCTCCACTATGCGCCGCGGTGGGCTGTCCCTGCGTTTGGAACGCCTGCTGGAACGGTGGTCCATAGCACTGCGGGAAGTACAGCTCATTCTTGACCACGGACTGTTGTACAGCCGCATTTTGCACAGCCGCCATGGCGCGTGGTAATATATTCGCTTTATTGTCGCCGCCAGCTGTAGCTGGATTATTGTTATTGAGGAATTGTGCCGCATTCTTAGTTTCGTTCATCAGATGATTGGCGGCGGCTGCAGCTGCGGCAGCTGATGCCGCTGCAGCGGCGGCATGACTGTTGGCATTCGGATTGTTGACATTAGCGGCGTTCGGATTGTTCGCGTTGGCTTGGCGACGCGCCTTTGTTGTATTCGGATTCATGTGGTTGTCGATGTGTTTGGTCACCTCGTTTTCGGTGGCAAAGCGACGTCGACAATTCGGCATCGGGCAGCAGAAAGGTCGATCGCCCTGTAAAGCAAAAAGGGGGAACGTATTAAAAGGGGAAGTGGAAGAGAATGATGACGAATGAGATCGAGTTGCCTATGGTGAGATATAAATCTATTACTTCTTAACCTAAATCGTGATGAATTTATGCTCTTCTTGCCAAATCTACAAGTTTACAACTACCTGGTGCGTGCGTGTATGCTGATCCAGTATGGCCTTCTGTCGGAAGTCTTTGCCACATTGCGCGCATTTGTATGGCTTCTCGCCGGTGTGAATACGAATATGCTGCGTTGGAGAACAAACCAAGTGTGTATTAGATATCAAGCGATATTCTGAAGCTCACTCAAAATATTTAACCTAACTTCGTAATCGTTACTCACCTGATTCAATATGGTGCGTTGTCGGAAGAACCGCGGACAATACAAACAACCGAACGGTTTCTCATTCGTATGTATTCGCAAGTGTTGCGTTAGGTGCGATTGTTGACGGAAACGTTTACCGCATTCTGGACAAGGATACGGACGAGACTCGATGTGTATGCAACCGTGTTGTAAAAGCGTTGTCTTCTGCTTGAACTCCTTGTCACAGATGGGACAACGTACGTAGAGTGGCATATTGGCTGGCCGTACACCGATATGCTGCAGCACATCCGGCAAGATCTTTTGCCCTGGATATGTATGGGGTGTATGAAAAGGGAAAAAGTGGTAGAAAAAATGAATCAACGTAACAACAGGTCGGTGGGGTTTAAAGTAACTAAAGAATTTATAAAATAAAGAAATTAACAGAAATGTACAACAGACTGATAAGGTACGATATGGTGGGGGAAACGTTCGTCAAGGGTAAAATGGCTTTTCGCAGTCGAAAAAATGCTGTCTATAAGAGATGTAATTCACCACATGAGTCATGCAGCTTGACAGAAACGGTCTTCACACCACCGAAACTCTAGAGTTACGAGTCCAACATTGTAAATTTGAAAAAAGCTTTACTTAAAAAAATAAATCTATTCTTCGTCATATTCTTCGTTAATTTCGTCAGACAAACTTCGTCGTTGATTTGGTTGTTTGAAATCTCATATACTGTACCATGATAAAAACATGTACTGTACTGTGTTTTAATTTTGACAGCGAACTTTCATCCGACGAAATTCTCTCAGCGAATGATTTTGTTTATACCTTAACTGTACTCCTTAAGCCTTTTCTGGAGTTATTGTGGGAAGTCGCGTTTTATATTTTTTTTTTAATTTTTGTATTTTATTTTATTTATTTTTTTGTTTTCTTTTTTACTAAAGGTGTCACTACCGCTTGAAGGCACACTGATTTTTTTTTTGTTCATAACAAGTGAGAAAAAAGATTCTTTCAGTGCTGACGTTGAACAAGTGCTATGCTTGAAGAATATCAAATTGAGTTTAGAAGTATGTATATTTAGTAGAAAAAATTTGCAAACTTTCGAGCCTTAAGAGACCTTTCCATTCCCTCCCATTCCCTGTTGAATTTCATTTAAAAATTATGTAGTATGGAATCCAATATGTAAACTATTCCGAAGAAAACCTAAAATAGAAATTCGATGCTCCTGTTGAATCCCAAAAATGGTTATGGTTATGTTTTTCAAGCTTATACCAAAAAAGTTGTAATCTATGACTACGTGTTTCTTAAAATCTGTATATAAGACCTTCCTAAGAAGCTATGAGCGCTACCTATATCCGCCTGAAGCCCCAGTCATTACGGTCAAGGTTACTGCCATGAGAGGCGAGTTGTGTCAATGCTTCGCATAGATGCCTTCTGATGTGCTTAATAAGGCACTCCGCACATTACGCGCCTAATCATAGTAGAGCAGACGTTTCGTCATGCCGAAACGAATGCACGACGACTCCACTTCTGCACACTTGCGCGCCCTGAAAAGGCCCTGGTGGCACACACTACACATTTTCTGACCGTTCTTTCTTATTGAAACACTTCCGCGAATATTTCTGCTATAAAATATTGCATAACCGCTTATGGTTTAATACAATTGGCACGAGTTTTAGCACAAAATCATTAACTTTCAATATTTCCTATTGAAGTGACAAATATTTTTTATTTCCAACACAAAAAAGTAAACAAATCATGATTTCAAAACGGCAAGCGCCTTATAATGTTGGGCGCTTCGATTCATGAAGCTTTTATGATTAGGCCAAAACATGATTATGAATCGTAATATACAGAGCTTCATTGAAGTACATGTGCTCGGCATAAAAGCTTCATACTTTAGTATGCCGGAACGATTACACTACTATGACTAGGCGCTTAATGTGCGGAGTGCCTAAATAAACAATTGGGTATTGTTATTGGGAGTCTCTTGAAGATAACCAGGGTTTTCCGATCGAAAAATATTGATTTTCAAGAATTCCATACCATTTCTACGAAAAGTTGTTTTTTCCCCATTTAAAATACATGCAAAACTCTGAGCGCTTTGAGCGACCCGTAAATACTTTTTGATTTCAAAATCAAAAATAAGGGTATATTTTTTCGATATAGAAAAATCGTTGGAGGTAAGAGCATTAAAATTCCGACTTTACTTATTTTGGACACCCCTTATGTGCATATATTTCGAAAGAAACGGACTCAAATTAACGCCACTATCACGAGTTGTTTTGTGAAAGCTTAAAATAAATAATATACATTTCTTAAAGAAAAGTGACACCATTTCTAAAAATTGTTGATTTCTTCGATAATAGTACCTTGATTCAGTCTCGTTGAAGCAAAAATCGAACGTGCTAAAGACAATAAATTTTACCAGCTAAAGAGACAAGGGTTTCATATGATATAGAACTATGCGTTGTGGATCTTGTCTGTGTTGAACCGTATGCTATCCGAAAATTCGTCCAAGACGTGATTTTAATCTAGGTGGGAAAGGCCGTTAAATACTTTGTGTAGCGTAGAGCACTTCTTCGAAGGAAATCGGCCTAAAATTTTACTTTAAAAAAAGTTTCAGCTTGTTATATGTGTGACCTTTGCATATAAGGTGTTTAGACAGAATAAGTTAGTATGCAAGTCTGGAGGGTAAAGATCGTGATCGACAACGACACAAATTGTTTAAAAGAATTACGTTTCCTTCTCATTTTAGCAACTGCCAGATTAAGCTTAAATGAGCAAATGGAGTAACTACATACATATATGTTCGTATGTACTTTTATAATAAACATACAAATGTAGAGAAGGATAACAAAGAAAAAATTCATAAATACAATACATCATATACATACATACTTAAATTGTAATAAAAAGAAAATTAAAAAATTGCTGGTATACGTACAGTTTTTATTACCTTTGTTGTCCTTAAAATATGACGGATAATGTATACCGCCGCTGCCGTCAGGCGTACCCTGTGAATCCTCGTCATGATAACCGCTCCCGCTGGCTATATCATTCTTTGTGTCAGTCTCATCACCCGGATATGGAACATCCTGTGGCCAAAGAGTCGGATGTGGACCATTCTTGAAGATAAGATTCGGTGAGACATCTGTTTATCGGCACGAGAACGTTGGTGGGTTAACGTTTGCGCGACGTGCGAATGCAAATGAAACGAAACGTAAGAGCAAATAAGCCGTTAGTACATAATGAATTTGGGTGAATTACCCGATTTTTTTGCTTTTATATATTTTTTTTTATATAAAGAATAATTCTTAATATTTGCTACGCTAAACTACAGTAAGATTTGAAATGATAAATTTGAAGAACAAGTAAATAATTAAATTGGATTAATTTTTAGCAGGCGAAGTGCTTCAGCACTTTTTGGGCTTCTTACGTTTTTTTTTTTAAATTTTGTTTAAGGTGTTGTCTTAGGTATGTTATAATTTATGGTGACGGTATTAAATTTAGCTTAAAGTTATGCCAAACAAGTTTGTGCCAGATTATTATGCCTTTTCAAAATGATGTGTTGCAGGAGACTAAACTTTGACCTGAGGTTGTCCTAATACTCTCAATTAAAATGTTTAAAAATTAATAACCGTTATATAATAATTTAGTAAATAAATTAAAAATGAGGCTAAGGTCAGTTGAAACCTGAGTTTGATTAAAAAGGATTTTTATACTAAGGATGGTATATTAAATTATATTTACACCAAATCAAACTGGATTTAAGAACTGAAAAAACTGAGTGCCTAAATTTTGGTAGAAAACTATATTTATGTACTCAATACTTGCTCATGTGCATTAAATTAGTGTTAAGATATTTATGTATGTAGATATTTCATTAAGTTCTAGTGTTATAAACCTTTAAAATATTTCTTTTGTCAATGAGTTGAGTACCAAAGTGATAGCACTATGATTCCAGATGTTATTTAAATAAGGGTATAATTGGGGTGTTCACAACAGTGTCGTAGGTGTCGTATGTCGTAAACTTTAAACGCCTAAAAATTATATTAAGGGGGTTCGCAAAGTACCATCAAAGTCATATTATGAATATTTGTAGTGCCAAAAAATAGTTGGTTGACATTTCAAATTCTCTAAACATTTGTTTAAGCTTTTAAAGTTTACGACATACAACAATACGACACTTACGACACCATTGTGAATTCCTCAAACGAAATATAGAAACAGCACTGTAACTCATGTGCAGAACTGAGTTTCATATGAGGCCCTAAAAGCAGAAGTGCTTATTGTAGCTTTGTTTTTTTAAATTAAGCGACTATTATTTTCAAAATTAACACATTAGAAACTACTTAAGTAGTCAGGTACAAAAAAAAAATATTGTGGTTTAGGCAACTTCTACTCTCGCGGCCTCATATTTGTATTGTAATTTTTGGTTGAAATTAAGTTTTCGTGCTGAACATTCAGTACAATAACGTTAAAAAATTTACTTAAATTGCTGATTACTTAAGATTAAATACTAAGTTCAGTTTTGAAATTTAGTTTTAAAAATTTAGTGCCACAATTAACCCAAAAAAAATATTTAAAATTTAGTGCAAAAAAGTTGGCACCAAATTGCGAAGACACAAAAAAAAATAACTGAAGTTTTTGGTACTAAATTTAATTTTAGCACTAGTGTTGCGTGCTGAGTACTTAAGGTTAAATACTACATTAAATTTTTAGTACTTGAAATTTAACAAAAAGTTCAAGTACTGAGTACTTAAAATTTTAGTGCGAAAATTAAAAAAAAACCAAAAAATATTTAATACTTAGTACAAAAAATTTGCAGTAAAATAGTAAGAAAAACACAAGAAGTATTACTGAAGCTTTTTGTACTAGATTAGATTTTAGTAAAAGTGTTGAGTGCTTAATTCTTAAGGTAAATGAGTAAATTAAATTTTACTACTTAAAATTGTACCACAATTTAAAAAAAATATTCGAAATAAGTACTGAGTACTTAAAATTTCAGCACCAAAGTTACAATAAACCAAAAAATATTTAAAATTTAGTAAAAAAGAGTTTGCACTAAATTGTTAGGAACATAAGCATTAACGAAGTTTTTGATACTAAATTAGGTTTAAGTGCCAGTGCTGAGTACTTAAGGTTAAACACTAAATTAAATTTTTAGTACTTAAAATTTAGTTAATAAAATTTAGTACCACAACTAATAAAATTTTAAGATAAGTCTAAGTACGTAAATTTTAGTAGCCGAAATGCAATAAACCAAAAAATATTTAAAAACATAGTCCCAAAAATTGGTACTCAATGAAATTTTAGCACTAAATTGGTAAGCACAATTATAGGAAGTATGATCCAAGTTTTTTGTATGAAATTAGATGATTTGGCACTAGATTATACAATAAATTCTTCAATCAACCAAATACTGAATATTTTTTATTAGATGAAATACTTAGGTGTTTCGATATTAAATGGGTTCAGTGTTGAAATTTTTGCAAAAATAAAGTTTTATTACTAGAACATAAAAAAAAGTTATACAAGACACACAAGTAAACCCTGTTCGCGTAAAAAAAAAAAAAACTGTTGGGCCTAAATGCGAATGAATTAAATTAAAACAGTTTTCCCCTTAGCCTACAATTTTGACTCTAGTTTGAGCCGTGGAAAAGCAACATCATCATTCTGAAAAGGCAGCCATTTCCTTCTATCAAAGGTGCATAGAAGACGAAAGCGTATTGTAAATTTTGAAATTTGGAATTTTGCAGGGGCATTAGCAGGATTCGTCTGTCTAAAGCTCTTTCCAAACTGGATTTCCAAACTCGATCCTAAACTATCTAGCAACTTTTGTTGCGCCTAAATAGACTGCATGCGCCTCCACTAGCTAGCTGTAAGCATGTACATATTTAGTAGGTAGTTTCATATATGAGAATGACTGATTGAATGTGGGTATGTGTGTATAGGTCTGCCTATCTAACTCTCTGCCTCTGCCTAAATAATCAAATTCTGCAAATTTGCAATTTGTTCAATTGTTTCAATAACTGTCGCTCGCCTTGGTGGGTGCGCACATGTTGATTGAGGATGGCCTTCTGGCGAAAGTGCTTGCCGCACTCTGGGCATGCGTAGGGCTTCTCACCCGAATGGATGCGTATATGTTGGTTGAGTATCGCCCGCTGACGGAAGCTGCGCGAACAATAGCCGCATGTGAACGGTTTCTCATTGGCGTGTATGCGTAGATGTTGTGTTAGATGCGATTGCTGTCGGAATCGTTTGCCACACTCCGAGCATGGATATGGACGAGCGTCGGTATGGATGCGATCATGTTGAAGTAGCGTACTCTTCTGTTTGAAATCCTTGCCGCAGGTCAAACACTTGAATAGACGTAAGTCGCTGTGTGGTTTTGGCGGTTTATTGGGATTGGGATGACGACCACGACCACTGCCTGTGCCGGTACCTGTGCCCGTACCAGTACCACCAGCGCCAGTTGCGGTAACGTTGCCATTGCCTGCGCTCCCGTTGGCACCAGCCGCGCCTTCCGCGCCACCATTGCCATTGGCACCACTGTTATGTGCATTGCCACCATTCTGTTGCCCATTGTTACCCTGTGGCCCACCACCACCGCCAGCGCCTGGCAATAGTTCGGGCATAGCGTATGCCTCCAGACCACCGTTCTGTTCCATGGCGCCTGCCATGCCGGGCAGCACTGGTTTATTGAGATAGTGTAGTGCAGGGAAGCCGGGTGGTGGCAGCATAGCGCCCTGTGGCGCGGGATGGCGTGGCGCATAGTAGCCGCCGAGTTCACCGCCCTGCGGCGCTTGGAAGTTATCGCTGCCCTGGCCCGGTTGCGACGGACCACCGTTCTGTACATGTTGTTGCTGTGGGTTCCCCGCGCCGGCATCGCCACCCGACGACTGGTGTTGTTGCGGATCATTGTTGCTTTGGTTTGGATTGGGCGCCGAGTTCTGTTGTTGGCTGGCCTGCAGGTTGGCGACCTGCAATTGCATTTAAGAGAAACGGAAAACGTAAGCACGAAAATATTTTGTATTTTTAATGTGAACGCGCAGTACTTACCTGGCTCATGGTGACATCATCATCGGGTGGGCCACCGCCATTAACGCGCTGCTGCGGCGGATACGGACTTGTGGATGGCGAACCCTGCTGCCGTCCAACACCACCACCGCCATCGCCGCCATTTTCACGTACATCGCCGGTCGGGCTATGTGGCTGTTGACCCTGTTGTTGTTGCTGCTGTTGCTGCTGCTGCTGTTGTTGATGCTGCGCTACCGCCGCGGCAGCTGCTTGCGCGGCGCTCGCTATCTGCGCTGCCGGATTTTGTCCATTCTGTTGCTGTTGCGCCTGCAAATGTTGCTGCGCCTGTTGCTGTATACCTGGATACATTTCACTGCCCCATTGCGCGGCCGAACCAGCAATCGCAGCCGGATTGCGCTCGCCATCTTGTGAGTCCTTATACAGCACATATGGCTGGCCAGTGTCCTGCGTGATGCAGTACATTATTTGACGCGGCACCTTCAGTCCAGCGGCGATGCAAGCCGCAAATGATGCGGAGAAATTGATCGCCATGTCGCTGGAGGGAGAGGTGTGCGAGTAGGGAGTGTTTTGTGGTTGTTGCTTGTTATTGAACCTCACTTTGAATGCTTTTTGTTTAGCTGAGGTTATGCTGAAATATGTTAAGAGATCGCGCAAAGTTGCGCGATGTAGTTTTCAAGCTTGTAAATCAAATATAAATTTTTATTGCTTTTGCAAGCTCATTTTGGCTGTTTTTCATTCAATATGCTTTCGCTTTAGACTTCTTCTTTTCTATTGAACTTGGACTGCTATTTTTAGCTTCATTTAAATTATATTCTCCGTTGGCGTATATTTTGCCTTTAATGTGCTCATTATGTTCTTCTTATGTTGAAGCACTTTACCTTTCAATTCTTTAGATTTGTGTGCTTAAAGACTGTCTTTGTTGTTGCTGTTTTCAAGGGGTTTCTCATGTTTTGCTTTGACACCAATTTTTTTTTATTATCGCGGTTTATTTCCTTTCTTCTTAAACGTTGAATTTTAGTTGATGGTTATATTAATTATTCTCTTCGTTTTATGCTGTTTATAATTTGATTTATTTAGTTTTTGCTAAAAATCTGTACATTCCATCCAGAACTGGATTTTTATATCTGAAGTTAAAACCTTCTCTTTTGCATATATATTTTCGCAAATTTTTTGATGTTTTTGGAATATCAGACAGTCGACCTGTTCGTAGTTGTGGACCTTCTATGACTAAACTGTGTCTGCAAAAGAAGAAAAATAGAGAAATATGGTTAATACCCCTGCGAAATGCACTCCATGCTGAAAGAAATAAATTATAATTCCTAAGGTCTCTATGACCTGAATAAGTACCTTAGGTTAACCCTTTAAGGACCAATGGCCCTTAAATTGGAAAATCAATTTTTAAATTGTAGATTCTGATTTATTAGTGGTGTTTGTATACTCCCGATTTAGCACATGCCAACTATTTCCTGATTCAAGAAATGAGACCCCTGATGAGTTCTAAACCAAATGTAAAGCGCCGCCGAAAATGATTATGTTAAGTTGGAGACCGTCTTTTTTACCGAAAAAAAAAATTCAAAAATCACTATTACATATTTGCTTGGCTAGGGTAATTAACCTTTCACTATTGTGTGATTGAAACACACAGAGTCTATTTATCTATTACCTCTTTTGTTCAACAAATTCAACCCCAAAAAAGTAATTTACGAACAAACGCCAAAAAAAGAAAAATTAATTCTTTAAGTAGCGTTTTCTCACGTAGCTTTTAAACATGATTCAATAATAAAAGGTTTGCTCAAAAACCAGTTTTCTCGCTCCCTCTTGACACAATTGGCCCCCTTAGCAACTCACTGTGTGTGGGTTCATGTGTGTGTGCAAAGCTTTTGTAAGGGAGCTAAGGGAGTGTCAAAACTCAAAAGTCACTAATTAGCAAACCTTTAATTATTGAATCATGGCTTTTAAAAATTTAAAAACTTTAAAAACATTTTTCCGGAACAAAATTTGTGTTTAAAGTGCAGATAAATTTTAAAAGCTATTTGATAATACGACCCTAAATCTTTAAATTTTTAAAAAGTAAATAATGCCCTTTTTATATTTTTTGTTTCCTGCTTTGATTTAGATTACACTACTTTTTGATTAGAGTAATCTATGACTAATCAGGATTTTCTTTGCTGTGCCCTTTCAAAATTCACATAAGCGAAAGAAATTCATCAATGAATTGAACAAAATTCTTTAAAATGCTTATTGTAGGGTAGACATTTTTTCTTTCAAATTAGGCTACTATAATTAACTACTTTGGCTGCACCGAAATTCGAACCCGGACAGCGATGATTGCGAGCTCAGCGCGTTAACTGCTGCGCCATAGCGACAACGTAGAGGAAGGCAGGTTAAACGTATTTTTATGCCAGAGCACCTACCTTTAGCTGTCGAGCTGGATTATTATGAACAATACTTATGCCTTTGTGAATGGCTATTTCAGGATGAAAAGGCTATAGGTATGAAAATATGATTTGAATTGTAAAATCTTACCTATTAATAAACATTATTAGATGTAAAAAAGGAAACATTAATTAAAAAAAAAAAAACAAGGAAAACATAAAAATATTTTTTTTATTTACACAGAGCCTTCAGCTCTGAGGTTTCGGTCAGTCTGTCGCAAAAAATATATGCGATTAAAATGCCCCAACGTGTTAGTGGACCATCCAACCAATTAAGAGAACTTTCAGAAGTGCCGCTGGCCAATTTACAATTTGTACCTACATACATATATATGTAATACCATGTCCTCACCAAGATGTTAACAATATCAAATCGAACTTAACCACGTCACTAACTATTGATGTCCACACTGCGGTTTGAGGTTTATAAAACAGTACAATTGTAGAGAACAGTGTTCGGACCTCCTATTGATTTAGAAATCCCTCAGGTTACTTAATTAGGAATATAACAATTCAACTCTGAGCTACTTAACTCTCTATTTTATTATTTAACTCAGGATATTCTGCAAGTGGACCCTAATGTGCTAAAGAATTCGTAACGATTTCGAATTTTACTTTTTTCATAGCCAGATTCGCAAAGCAATTTAAATGAAAAATGATTTTTTTATTTGAATTTGATATGGAAACTGACAGCAAAAAAATAATTTTTCACTTATGGCGTTTCGTTTCTACTAAATATGTTGCTTTCTCATTGCCCTCTTCTTAATATTTGTGCTTAGAGACCAAATAGAAAGCACCATTTTTCGATAGAAACGAAAACGCCATTAAATTGTTTTCGTGAGACCGGCAGTCAGAGAAAGCCTGTATACTTGTTTTTAATTATAGCGAACCGGGACTAACACTGCTATTTCCTAGAAAAGACAGGCGCCGATTTACCTATTGACGTGGGCATGATATATCAATGGCACAAATGGTTCTTGCACCCCTGAGTTACACATGTACTCGAGCACAAGACTTCTAGTCGTACCTGTAATTTACCAGATGCCAATGAAGCTGTAGAGCATTTCCTGTGCAATTGCCCAGCACTGGGTAGAACAAGAATCAGGTCTCTAGGTACCAGGCATAAGTCGCGATTTTTATTTTAGAAATTGTCCCTAGCATACTAAGTACATACCGGAGTTAATAATTATGCGAATTTCTTTGCCTCTAGTAAATACAGTGACTCAAAAAATTATCACGTGTTGATTTTTTTTAAATATTCGCATTGGTTTTCGAGCAAAATTTTTTTTTGGTATTTTTCTATAAAAATACCATCTAAGCTTTGACTAAAACCATATAAATCACAATTTCAAACTTAATACAAAATTTAGGAAAGTTTTTATGGGCTATAAAACTGCATACCAGCGTCAGGACTTTGCTTCGATCGGAGTAGATTTACTCCGATTTCTTTTTTAAATTTAAAATATACTCCCTACTCCGCTTGACCTAAAATATGCTCTGCTTTTTTACTTTTTCCATTCATATTAACAATTTATTTGTTTTATGTTATTTTATGGCCTTATAACTTCTACCATTTTTTCAAAAAAATAAAAGTTATTGTTGCTTGTCCACAATAGTTTTTCATATAAAAACGTCCGCGAGCTCAATAAGAATTGTTGAACTAACAATTTATTACAAAATAATATGGTAACTTCTTAAAGTTTTGCTCAACAACTTCTGTGTTGATCACCCAGATTTTGTATTGCAAGGTCTAACAGAAGTTGTCTCTTTTACTCTTCCTTGCGGTATCAGTTTTGATTTCCCAAAGCAGGGGATTGATTGAGGACCAGAAAAATGTTTTGGAAGGTACATATATGTTTAGCAACTTGGCAGGGTATATGCTCAGGTTAGATATTTACCGCATACTATTGCTAATGCCGAAAGAAAATTCTGAGAGACGAATCTGATTCAAAATAAGTACAGAGACAGGCTTAATGTCGAAACAGTTGAAAGCTTAATGTTCGCAAGAACTCTTACTAACAAAAGGTCAGAAATTTATACGCCGCCTGATAATTTGCTTATTTTTTTAACATTTAAAATTTTTTTTGGATGGAATTTTTGCTTTAAATTCTATATAGAGATTAAGCTAATTTAATTTAAGAGTTAGTATAGAAAAAAATTGTTGAACTGAAAAAGTACCTAAAGATGTAACAGCTTTTCCTTATACTATTCAATAAAAAGCGTTAATCTGCTCCGAATTTTTGATGAAAATTTGTTGGTTAAAGCTCAGACGGTATTTTATAGAAAAATAATAAAAAAAAACAAACAATTACCTCGAAAACATTAAGAATATTAAAAAAAAATAAAAATTTATACGTGGTCACTTGTTTGATTCACTGTATACATATATGTATCCTCTGGAACATATTTTTATTCGACAGTTTTATCCTACAAACTGGCCAATTTACTGAAAATTTTATCGATGGATCTCGTCACCCATCGGCATAGTCTAGTCAATTTATCATTTCCTGCAATCCATGCAACGTGCAAGTGCTTTGCAAGACTTCGAGAATACCCCTATTATACATAAATAAAACAAAAAATGCCTTTCAAATAAACAACAACACAACTTTCCATGCAATAAATCACGATTTTGCACAACGTTGGCACACATGCAACCACAGAATTTTTGCATGTTACAGACGGACATACATACATATATACATAACTACAAACCCGTGCTTAAGTTTTTCACGATGTATGCGCATACAAAATAAATACTGTATATAAAATTAAAGTAATGACAATTACTAAAGTTAAAAATGGTAAAACCGCATAGTTGATTTAATGCAAGGGCAGACATGGAGTAGAATTGCGATTTTATTGCAAATTGAGTTAGTGAGTACATATTATAGGATAATAATTACAGAAAAGAAATAAATAATTTTTTAAAATATTAAAATTATGGAATTTTTCTCTGACAGATCCTGATTTATTGTCATCAATACATTTAACCGTGTAACTAGATAAACTTTTCTGATCAGTGGAAATCGTTTTTAATGATAAATATGCAATTTTTTTACACATTTGTTTGCTCATGATTTATCGACCTCAGAAGCTACGAATACTTGTGAATCCACCAAAATATTTGAAATATGTGAAATTCCTTTGAAAATCTCGAAATTTTTTTCAAATTAAGTACCGATGTTTTGCGGTCGTTTCCACGATCATACAAGGCACACCAAAAAAAGTTGTGGTTTTTTCACCGTATTATAAAAGTTATTATGTATTTTAAAATTAATAACAGCTCTACGGCTTCGTTCTCAGAGATCATGCCAACTGAGTGTGGGGTTTTTCCTTCATAAGTGAAACCTGAATTTCGAGCTTGTGTTTAGTATTCCTGTGTCTAGCCGCCAAAATGTAAGAAAACCTTCACTTCACACTTCGCTACAGCATCGAAAGCGAAATTCTGTTCGACTGAAAATTCGATGCTCAACGAAAATTTCGACAAGGTTGCATAGCTCATAGTACGAATTTCACATATGATGTTCGATCTCCGATAACCAGCGAAGATCGAAAACCGAATGCAACTCATAAAAAGGGCCTTTATTTGAAGATATCTTCATAATATTTCGGAAAAATATTGGGATTGACGTGAGCTAGACTGATTTGGAAAAAAACTCCAAACACCGACTTTTTTTTTATAAATAAAATTAGCTTTTAAAAATATTTTTTCCAAAATATTATCTCAGATGATAGAAGAGTTTAAGCTTAAAAGATCTACATAGCATTTTTATCAACGGACTCAAAATAGTGAGATTTTC